CCCCACTAGGATACGGCCTTGCTTAGATCCACGAGGAGCAAGCAGAGGGACAGATCCTGCCTCTGGATCCACATTTTCCCAGGATGCCTGTGTCCTCTCTCCCATTCACTACACAGGGAGGTTCTCATTACCCTACCCACGCTGGAGAGGAGCTGGGGCTCAGGGAGGGCAGAGGGGCTTGCGCCAGCCCCACCTTGTACCAGGACGACCACTCAGCCATCCCATCTCCTCCCCCAGGCGCCCCTCCTGTGGCATCGCGTCTCCACCCTGCTCAGAGCTTAATTCATCCTTGATTGTCACCATTTCCTGAGCAGCTGCTGGGTGCCAGCCCCGTGCTGGGAGTCAAGGATTAGAAGCCACGTGAGTCCGCACATTCCCTTTTGATTTTTTCAACCACTTAAAAATATAAAAACCATTCATAATTCACAGGCCATACGAGAGGCTGTGGGCTGGGTCTAGCCCACCGGTCATGGTTTCAATTCTTGCTCTATCCATAGCAACAAAAACGAACTTCAGCCACACAGTGGAGTGGATGAATCTTGGCAAACATAATGCTGAATGAGAGGAGCAGGTCACAGGAGAACACATACATATCCTTCAATTACTCAAAGCTCACAAACAGGTGAAGCTAGTCCATAGGGTTTAGGGATGTGTCCTAATGATAAAATTATGAAGAAATGCCAGTAAGTGATCACCCTACCAGCTGGGATGGGGGTACCTTTTGCAGGGGGCGGGTGCCTAAGCCACGGGGATGTTCTCATTCTTGACCTGGTGGGAGTCACCTGGGACTTTGTTTTCTATTGCTCACCAGGCACCACGGTGTTTTTCTATGTGACAGTTCACAATGACAGAGGAGAAAGCAGTGAGATAGGACCTGCTGGGATGCTTCGTGGACCCCTATTTGAGAGGTGTTTGTGATCTGCCCAATGACAATCTGTATCCCTCGGCTGTGTCAGGCTTCCCCTCCGGTAAAGCTGAGCCTCTCCCGGGCCTCCCGGCCCTGCCTTTGGGCTCTCAGCCCTCATTCCCTCAGGCACCTCCCACTCTGCCCCCACTCCTCGGCAGCCTTCCCAGCACTCCCCTACCTCTCCTGCCTGCCTCTGCCTCAAAAACCCTTTATTGGGGTTAGACAAAGATGAAAAACAGAGGCTCTTCCGGACAGAGGTCCGGAAAGGCGGGAAGGGAGGCAGGAGGTCTCAGCCTGGAGCAGGCGGGGGCTCCTGAACATCTTTTATTTTATTATTATTATTATTTTGAGACGAGTCCACTCTGTCACCCAGGCTGGAGTGCAGTGGTGTGATCTCAGCTCACTGCAACTTCCACCTCCCAGGTTAAAGCGATTCTCCTGCTTCAGCCTCCCGAGTAGCTGGGATTACAGGCACGCACCACCACGCCCAGCTAATTTTTGTATTTTTAGTAGAGACGGGGTTTCACCAGGTTGGCCAGGCTGGTCTTGAACTCCTGACCTCAGGTGATCCACTGTCTTGGCCTCCCAAAGTGCTGGGATTATAGGTATGAGCCACCGCGCCCGGCCTGGTACATCTTTTAAACAACAAAGAGCACGATGGCACCTGGGTCCAGAGCAAACCTGTCTGGAATTTCCGCTGAGGTTCATGATCCCACCAGGCTGAGAGTGGGGCCCGTGGCTTGTTCACCTCTGGGTTCCCCCACTCCAGGTGCCTAGAACCGGTCCTTCTCAATGGATATTTGAGAGATAAATACAGCCCAGAGTTCTGAAAAGGCCACAAAGAGAGAGGGGACTGACATTTGCAGAGGACACTAAGGTGCAGAGAGGTTAAGTCATTGTCTGAGGCCCACAGCGGTCACCAGAAGGAGGCAGGCCTGGAACTCAGGTCTGTCCAGCCCCAAAGGGACGACGGAGGCCCACGGAAGCCGGGCTGCAGCTGCTCCCAGAAAAGCCAAGCCCGCAACAATTCCCCTCTTGGGGATACCACCAGTGGCTGCCTTTGAGAAAAGCAGACTTTGCAGAGGGATCAAAAAGCCAGAGGGCAGGCCGGAGTCCCGACTCAACTGGGAGGAGGAAGATGGCTGGGAGCGGGGCGGGCACCCCGGATGAGCTGGAGGCCGTGGGCTCATCAATCTCAAGTCTCCATGGCTCTGGCGAGGCTGGCAGGCGGCTGACGCTCACTGAGCTCTAATCACATGCTGGGCTCTCAGTCCTCAGGATGTGCTATGAGGCGGGCAGCGCTATCACATCCATTTAACAGAGGAGGCATAGTGATATGAGCGATCTGCCCAGGGCGCCCGGGTGAGTAGCAGAGCTCAAATTGAAACTGGGCCAGGCTCAGTGGCTCGTGCTTACAATATCAGCACTTTGGGAGGCTGAGGAGGGCGGATCGCCTGAGGTCAGGAGTTTGATACCAGCCTGGCCAACATGTTGAAACCCAGACTCTACTGAAAATACAGAAATTCACCAGGTGTGATGGCTTATGCTTGTAATCCCAGCTACTTGGAAGGCTGAGGTGGGAGGATCACTTGAACCCAAGAGGCAGAGGTTGCAGTGAGCTGAGATTACGCCACTGTACTCCAGCCTTGGAGACAGAGGACCCTACCACAAAAAGATAAAAACAGGCCAGGCATGGTGGCTCACACCTGTAATCACAGCACTTTGGGAGGCTGAGGCAAACAGATCACCTGGGGTCAGGAGTTCAAGACCAGCCTGGCCAACATGGCAAAACCCTGTCTCCACTAAAATACAAAAATTAGCCAGCTGTGGTGGTAGGTGCCTGTAGTGCCAGCTACTTGGGAGGCAAAGGGAGAAGAATCACCTGAACCCAGGAGGTGGAGGTTGCAGTGAGCCGAGATCACGCCACTGCACTCCAGCCTGGGTGACAATAGTGAAACTCCATCTCAAAAAAAAAAAAAAGTGGGTGGGGGCTGTCTGCTGCTCCAAGGGACTCTAGGACACCTAAGGGTGTTTTCACCTCTTGTGAAAGAACAGTTTCTCTTTTGTATAATGTTTGTTGCAATACTGGGTGGGAGGGGGTGGTGCTGGGGAATCTGTTTTTGTTTGTAGTTGAGACTGTTACAAAAGAGCTTTTCCTCAGTAACACCCCCAAAGCCTCTTTCACCACTCGGTTACCAGGGTGCACTGGGTGTCTTCTGGGGAGGACGAATCACACAAAGGGAAAGGATGGAAATTGGGGAGAAATTAAATTAAAAATGACAGTGAGATGAGACACATGGACATCAACAGGCTGCATTTCCCGGGTCTGGCTGTGTTTGCACCAACAGTCTGTGGTGTGGGCGGGGGTGGCCACAGGATTACAGGAGACGGTGTCCTGGGCTCTGGCTCCAGCTAGGGAGGTTCGCACAGGCCAGCCCTTGCCTCCCCAGGGTAAGTTTCTCGGGAAGAACATTCTTTGCAAAGGTAAGAGGAGCCCCTGAGCCCACTGGCTGAGGGGCTCAGCTTGGGGCTGAGGCCAACCTGGGGCTGAGCCTGGCCTCACTTACCAGCTAGGCTTGTTATAAAAGGGAATTTAATAGGGGAATGACACAGCAGTAGAGCAATCTGTGTCAGGCGTAAGTGCCCCTTCCCTCCCTTACCTGTGTGTGTGCTCACTGTTGCTCCATCTGTGAACCACTATTTTTTTTTTTTTTTTTTGAGACCAAGCCTCGCTCTGTCTCCCAGGCTGGAGTGCAGTGGCACGATCTCGGCTTACTGCAACCTCTGCCTCCAGGTTCAAGCGATCCTCCTGCCTCAGTTTACTGAGTAGCTGGGATTACAGGCATGTGCCACCATCCCCAACTAATTTTTTTTGTTTGTTTTTTAATAAGATGGTGTTTCATCATATTGGTCAGGCTGGTCTCGAGCTCCTGACCTCGTGATCCACCTGCCTTAGCCTCCAAAGTGCTGGGATTACAGGCGTGAGCCACCGTGCCTGGCTGAGCTGCACCCTTGCTGAAGAAATTTATATTCGAGTGCTACTTCTTTTGCGGTACTGATAATTTTACTTATAACAGCCTTAAGCAAATGAACTGGCCTCCCTGGGCTTCCTTTTCCCTGTCCTTAAAATGGTGCAGGTGAGGACAATAGTGGCCCCAAGGTGTGCCCCAAGGTGGCTAGTGGCTGCCCTGTTAAGGGCCCCAGAAAGGCCAATTCGTGGTAGTGAGAGGGGGTGCAGCAGGACAGATGGGGCAGCTCCTGGAAGCCTCATCAACTCTAAGAGAATAGAAGGGAAAGCAGCTCCACAGTGGAGGCCACCCTTCGACCAGAGGAAGGGTTGGCTGCTGCCCTGCCAAGGAGGGGCAGAGAGAACCTGGCAGAACTCACTGAGCCCTGGTGCTGGCATCCCTGGAATGGGACCCTCCTGGCCCTTCCCTAGCCTGATGAACTGGCCCTGAGGCCACATACCCCACAGCCTGGCTCGGATTCTGGCCACGCAGCTTCTTCCGAGAGAGCCTGGGACCAGGAAAGGAGCGCCGCTGGCGTGGAAAGACACATGCTCACATCCTGAAACACTTGGCCTCTACTTTATTTCAGGAACCGGGAGGTACGACCCTTTCTAATGACTGACAGTTCTGTGCCTCTGGGCGCAGCTCCTGGTTGCTGGCCCTGGTATCCCCCTCTCTCCCTGGCCAACACTGGCAACAACCCCCAAGCGAGGCCCCGCCTCTTGCCAGGTTCAACGCGGGCTCCACCGCATCAACCGCATGAGATTCCTCGGGTGGGGAGCCGTCCTTCCCCACTGCCCGAGTTCCTGACCCCAGCCACACAGCGCCCACCCTCCTTGTTTAAGGGCCAGGAGGCCAGACTGCTGGGGGGAAGCTGTCCCCCGCCCCTTTAAAAGCCACCTTGGCGAGGCATTAGCTAAACATCTTCTCAGTCCCTGAAGGCTTCCCCTGTGAAGTCTGCAGCGTTCAAATGACAACCAGCAAATCCCCAGAGACAGGTCCCTGGGAATTAGCAGCACGGGGCTGGATGAAAGCCGCTCTGATGTTCTGGAGCGAGAGAGTAGAGAGAAGGATGGATGCTATACCTGCCAGTTGCAGGGTCCCGGGCAACAGCAGCAGGCCAAGGAGGAGCTGGGGGGCCGTGGGGGGCCTGGGAGGGTGTGCGGAGCCGGGCAGTGCCCACCACCTCGGAGGCTGGCTCTCCATCCGGGGGCCTGCCTGTCCAAGGCGACTCTTTAGTTCACAGGAGGGGACGGCTGGCAGCCGGCGCTGACAGCTTCCCCTTTGCTTTCCCCACGAAACTCCTCCCTGGCAGCCCCAACCTTCCGCTCAGAAGCAAAGCGGGAACAGCTCAGCAGGGGTGGCCGCCAGATGAGGAACCTGGCACTGAGACTGGTCCAGGCCACACAGCCCGAAGAAGAGCTGGGGGTGGGGACCCAGTCCAAGCCCCAGTGGGCTTCACCCCTTCTCGGGCTCTTTGCAGCTGGGTCCCTGTCCAGGAGACACTGGTGACCATGCAGAGGGGTCATGGGATTTCCATGAGTAACTTCGGGCTCTGGTTTAGCCTCTCACTTCTGATACACTTTTTTTTTTGAGACGGAGTCTCACTCTGTCGCCAGACTGGAGTGCAGTGGCGTGATCTCGGCTCACTGCAACCTCCACCTCCCTTGAGGTAGGAGGTTCAAGCGATTCTCCTACCTCAGTAGCTGGGATTGATTACAGGTGCATGCCACCATGCCCGGCTAATTTTTGTAGTTTTATTAGAGACGGGGTTTCACCATGCTGGCCAGGCTGGTCTCAAACTCTTGACCTCATGATCCGCCCACCTCGGCCTCCCAGAGTGCTGGGATTACAGGCATGAGCCACCTCACCTGGCCTGGAACAGTTTTAAAATGACCACAAGCATGTTCACACAAACTTGTCTAGAATATTCTGAGAATCCCTTAATCACGTATTTACCAAAGAGTAGGTTTTTTGGTGGGAGTTGGTAGGGAGGCTGGGGTGAAGGGCAGGAGCCTCATGTTCACAGCCCCAGAGAGGGCCAAACACCTAGGGGGTGTGAAAGGCAGGCTGCCCATCATTCGCTCAGCAAGGGTCTCTGTGGGTCCCCTGCAGAGGTCCAGGGGATGCCTCCTCTCCAGTCCATCTCTAACATCAGCTCTTCCCCGTGGCTTCCCTAAACCTTAGCTCCCTCGACCTCCCAGTGTGAGACATGTGGGCTGCTTCCCCACTGGCTGCAGGTCACAGCCTCTGTTCCCTAGCAGCGTCAGCCTGGGACAGGAATTGTTTGCTGCTAGGACCCCGTCCCCAGCAGACTCGGAGCCTTTCACCCTCGGCACACTGGGCACGCACACATCTGCCTGCGTGTCTGGAGTGACAGAGGAAAGGGGCTGGGGTGTGGTGATCAGTGGTGGAGCTGGAGGCACCTGGTACGTGGCGGATGCAGGCGAGAACGTGTGAGTTTCAGCATGTGCTGAGCGCTGACCTCCCTTCTTTGCGGTGTCCCTTCATTCACCAGATAAATATGATGATCCCAATTGTACAAAAGAGAAGACCACAGCCCCAGGAAGCAAAACAACTTGCCCAGGATCAGGGCAGTTCTGTGGGGCAGGCATCGGAACTTCCAGCCGCATGATGCCCAAGCCTTCTCCCACCCCGATGCCGCTTGCTCAGATGTGCCTGGCTGCAGCCCCCAGGGATGACATCAGGAGGGCCAGCTTGGTTCTTTACACAAGTGCTTTTCCCTGGGCTGTTCCAAACATGGACAATGAAAGCAGAAAGACGTTTCCACCAATGCCAAGAGCACGGGAGGCTGGCGAGAGCAGGGGCCGCCCACGGGGGGAGGAATACGTAAGAACAGGAGACATTTCTGACCGCACAGGGGGCGGGCGGGGACCCCAGTAATATTGACTGTTGATCCATTACAGTGATACATGCTCGCATATGTCGCAGCAAGACACAGATTGGCTGCTTCATGCTACTCCCGGCTCCTGGGGGTAGCAGGTTGTCTAAGCACCTCAATGCCATGGTGATAGACCTGATGTTAATGCCTCGGGGCACACAGGGAGCATTGGAAAAGCATTGGTCTGTGCCTCCACAAGTCTTGTTATGACTTGGCACCGGGAAGCAGCCAAGTGCCAAGCTGCCTTGGAATACGGGAGCCTGCTCTTCTAATGCAGTGCAGCCTCTGCTCCTGCCCTGGTGCCAGCTCGTTGCTCCTCCCTCTCAGACAACAAGCCCCTTGGCCTGTGATGGTGCCCCCCCACTCCAGCTCTGCACCCGGGACTCCCGGGAGCTCTGAGTCTGGGTCTAGCCTGCTGCACACCTGGTTTCCACGCTCGCCTGCCTGAGCTGCCTATCTGTCTTCCTCCCTGCTCCTCCTTGTGCCTGGCCACGGGGTGCATGAATGGATGGATGACTGAGTGTAAGGCAGAGAGAGGCCTTCCTCCAGGCTTGACGTGAAGGCAGGTGCCCAACACTGCACTGCTGTACAGGAGGCCTCAGCGGAGGGGTAGGCTCTGGGGGCAGGGTGGGAGGAGGCCTGCACCCTCCCCAGGCAGGCCCTGGGCTGCGGAGCACAGACATGACTGGACAAGAGGTGGCTGAGGGTCCCAGCTCATTTTGGAGTTTCTGAGACGCTCTGCAGCCACGAAGCCTCCAAGGGAGAGGCAGGGACAGGCCTTGGCGAGGAGCCCAGCAGCCCTGGCTATGCCGTCGGGGCCTCGTGTCTGGTCCTGATCCTCCTCAGGAGCCAAGAAAGGAATAGAAATAAAACCGCGGCACATCCAGGCATCTTTTTTTTTTCTTGGAGACAGAGTTTCACTCTTGTTGCCCAGGCTGGAGTGCAATGGCACAATCTCAGCTCACTGCAACCTCTGTCTCCCGGGTTCAAGCGATCCTTCTGCCTCAGCCCCCCAAGTAGCTGGGATTACAGGCATGCACCACCACGCCTGGCTAATTTTGTATTTTTAGTAGAGACAGTTTTCTCCATGTTGGTCAGGCTGGTCTCAAACTCCCAATCTCAGATGATCCGCCTGTCTTGGCCTCCCAGTGTGCTGGAATTACAGGCATGAGCCCCCGCACCCGGCCTCCCTCCAGGATTTTCAAATGCCTCAGTGAGCAAGTGGTGGCTGAGGGGCCTCCAGCCAGGACACGGTGAGGTCCTGAGCTCTTCCTCGTTCCTTTCTGCGCAGGAAAGAGAAGTACCGTGGGAAGAGGACCCCCCCCCCGCTCCCCACTTCGGCTGCGGAAATCACTTCCTTCCTCCCCAAAGACTCCAGCACCAAGAGGAGCTGAGCCGACTGGCAGGAGGAGCCCCCTTGGAATGATGCTTTGAGCGGGCTCAGCTGAGACAGAAAGGGTCCCGGTGAATGAGGGCCTGATCCATCCTCTCTCTCAAACACCCGACATTCAGAAAGGGTAGCCTCCGTCCTAGGAGCAGCTGGGTTTGCCTCTGGGGCCTTCTTGTGCCTCGAAGTGGCCCATAGCTGGGTGGTGCTCACCCCACCCGAGGCAGGCAGACCCACCTGGAGGCCATCCGCCCACAGGCTGCCTGGGCTGGAAGCCTGGCCTGGCCCGTCTCCAGAATCCCCTCTCAGTTCCAGCTGCCTGTATTTTTGGCTCTTAAGCATTTGTTTGATGCCAGACACAGTTCTAAAGGCTTTTCATGTACTCAGGCACTCACAGAAACCTCGTATGGGAGGTGTTATGACTACTCCTGCTTTGCAGATGAGGAAACGAGTTCAGAGAACACAAGCCACTTGCCTAAGGCCACACAGCAAGGAAGCAGTGGAACCAGGGTCCCAACTCCCAGGAGCTGGCTTTAACCGCTGCGCTCGCCTGTAATTCACCTGGTCCTTCACGAAGGGCAGCTATTATACCCCTCATCTGACCTATTTAGTGAGAGAGAAGAACAGAGCGAATGACTTGCTCCGGGTCACAGAGGGGACTGGAGGCACACCTGGGACCGGGGATTTCCTAGTGGACACATACCATGGTATGACGAGACCTCCCCTGCTACGCTCAGTTTCTGGGAGGTCAGCCCTGCCACGCCAAAAGGAATCTTCAAGATGTGGAAGAAACAGAAAAGAAAGGTGAGGCCCGGCGCAGTGGCTCATGCCTGTGATCCTAGCACTTTGGGAGGTGGAGGCAGGCTGATTGCCTGAGCTCCGGAGTTCCAGACCAGCCGGGGCTATGCAGCGAAATTCGATCTCAACTAAAAAATAAAAATAAAAAAAATAGCCAGGCGTAACAGCGTGTGCCTGTAGTCCCAGCTACTCAGGAGGCTGAGGCAGGAGAATCGTTTGAACCTGGGAGGAGGAGGTTGCAGTGAGCCACTCCAGCCTGGGTGACAGAGCAAGACTCTGTCTCCAAAAATAAAAACAACAACAAAAAAAAACCCGAAGGTGGCACAATTTGTTTTGCTTTAAGATGGAGTCTTGCTCTGTCGCCCAGGCTGAAGTGCAGTGGTGCGATCTAGGCTCACTGCAACCTCCGCCTGGGTTCAAGAGATTCTCCTGCCTCAGCCTCCCGAGTAGCTGGGATTACGGGCACATGCCACCACGCCTGGCTAGTTTGTGTTTTTAATAGGTTTTTCACCATGTTCGCCACGCTGGTCTTGAACTCCTGACCTGAAGTGATCCACCCTCCTCGGCCTCCCAAAGTGCTGGGATTACAGGTGTGAGCCACGGCGCCCGGCCACAATTTTCAACATTTATTCCACCATGTCCACCATGTGCCGAGGTTCTGGGAGGCTCAGGCCCTTGACACAACCATGTCCCTCAAAGAGACGAGCACAGAACCAGGCAGCCCTCGGACTTCAGACCCCAGAGCCACCAAGTCCCCCACTAACGGTGCCACCCCCTTCCCCTCCTGGCCACGCAGGACGGCCCCAGGGTTGCCCTGTGCTGATGGTGCCACCTGGTGGTAGACATGGGAACGCGCTCACTTGAGATTTCCTCTCCGTGACCCTTTTCCCCCTCTAGGGGTCCGGGGCTGCCCTGAGGCCACCGTCCAGCAAGATCAGGACAGGCTTGAGCGGCCCTGGGATAGCGCGCTGGGGGTTCCGGGGGGCTCCGGTGCGGGCAGAACCAGGAATGTGCCGGCGGGGGCGGTGGGTACGGGGCGCAGGGCGTGGCGGCTGCGGGACCTCAGCTCGCCTGTTTAAATCCCTTCCTGGGCACCCCGGGGGCCCGGCCGTTTCCCCTCAGGCTGTTTCTTCTGGGACCACCGCACTATCTCCTCCAGGGCAGCCTCCAGCGGAGCCCGTTATTGGCCGCCAGGCAAACCAGTCCCATCCCTCCAGCAACCGGGACTTTCCGGGCAGGGCTCCCCAGCGTGGGTTCAGCCAATTAAGGAAGCAATTAGCTTCCCGTGAGCCTATTCATGCTTCCTCACCCACAGTTCCAGGTTCTGAGACCAGAGCCCGTCTCCCGTGGGCAGAGGGTGTGTGTGGCTGCCACTAATCTGCAGACGCTGGCTCCACCCCACAGAGTTGCAGGGCCAGGAAATGTGCATTTGAACAGACCCTGGCTCTCACACTTCAGAAACGGCTGGAAGCACCTCTCAAGTCTGAGACAGGTTTGATACGCCCTTCCCTTCTCCCTCCCCCCACTTCTCCTTCCCCCCACTTCTCCCTCCCCGCCTTCCTCCTCCCAACTTCCTTCCCACCCTCCCCCACCAGCCCACCCTTCCTCTCTCCTTCCCTCCCTTCCCCACCCGCTCACCCTTCCTCACTCCTTTCCTCCATCCCTTCCTCCCCCTCCCACCTGCCCTCCCTCTCACTTCCCCCTCCTTCCCTCCCTCCCTCCCATTTCTCCCTCCTCCCTCCCATTTCTCCCTCCTCCCTCCCATTTC